TCTGTTCCAGTGTCTCACCACCCTAACAGTAAAGAATTTCTTCCTAACATCTAAACTAAATCTACCCTCTTCCATTTTAAAACCATTACCCCATATCCTATCACTACAAGCCCTGGTAAAATGTCCCTCCCCACCTTTTCTGTAGCCCCTTCAGATACTGGAAGGCTGCTATGTGGTCTCCCCAGAGCCTTCTCTTTTCCAAGCTGAACAACCACAATTCTCTCAGCCTGTCTTCATACCAGAGGTGCTCCAGCCCTCTTATCATCTTTGTGGCCCTCCTCTGGACTTGCTCCAAGAGCTCCATGTCCTTCCTGTGCTGAGGGCTTCAGAACTGGACACAGCACTCCAGCTGAGGTCTCACAAGTGTGGAGTAGAGGGGCAGAAACACCTCCCTCGACCCGCTGGCCACACTTCTTTCAATGCAGCCCAGAGTACAGTTGGATTTCTGGGCTGCAAGTGCACATTGCTGACTCATGTTGAGTTTTTCATTGACCAACACCCCCAGGTCCTTCTCCTCATGAGTGTTTTTAATCCTTCCTCCACTGAACCTTTATTTGTGTTTCAGGTTGCCCAAGCAACTCATCATCCCATATGATACAAATGGGAAGGGAAGGGAAAGGAAGAGAAGGGAGGGGAAAAGAAAAAGCCCCAACTGAACCAAAAAAGTAAAAGCCAGAAGCTACACTCAAAAGCAGCAGAAATGTAGGCACCCTGTATTAATGGAGCTAATAATAATGCACCATAATGGAAGGGAAAAGAGACTGTTGTTATCAGAGGCCTCTGCTGAGCCCATTAGCCACCAAAGACACACTGTATCATACTTTCAACATCTCTACCTTTGCCTGCTTAGTGAAACAACAGCTACTGGTGCTCCAACACTGATTTTACTTCTCCGTGTCAATCATTAACAGCCTGGTAGGTTTAGTACCAGACTCACCATTGAAAAAATATTCACTGTTGAAACTGCAGTTTCAAACTGGTAACATATAAGAACGTACATCCCCAGCTCTCCACCTTGCTTTCCCACTTCAATCACAGGTCTTAAGCACACCTGTATCACACCTTCTGTGTGGGAGCAGTCCTGCAAACTGCTAATTAATGGTGTGAGACACCACATTTCCCACAAAAACTAGCAGAAACATGCTGTGAGCTTCAGCAAAGCTTTCAAGTCACTGGGCAGGGACTACACAGCTGACATAAATAGTCACGGCCACTCTTCTGACAACTACTACACTAAATTCTAGCCTCTAGAGCAGCAGACACTTCATATGCCAATCTTGTGTTAAGCCTCGGGTTTTCTCACCCCAAAAGGAAGAAAGCCAATTATTGTGTAAAATGGGAATGCTGATGCACATCCTAGCTATAGGTTTGCGTATTGAACACAAAGGCAAGAGCAATAGTTTGGACTGGGCAGAAGAACAAGGAAGGAACACGTTGGCAGAGAGCTGTCAAGAACCCTGCTCTCCCCACAAGGCCCCAGGTCTCCAGTGGGCACTGTCATCTCCAGAATAGTCTTTCAGACTGTTATTAGCTATCAGCCACGTTCTTGCAATTCAGCCTCTGCTAAAATTCAAGGCCAAGATTATGTCACCCTACTCTGCCTCAACCCCAAAGGAGACGGAAGCAGCACCTGTGACATATAAGAATTAGTAAGAGGACACAGAAACTCTTAAACTTTACAAATTTGGGATAGTTCCTCAAGAGCCTTGAACCAGAAGCCTGCATTTGCTCCAAATGTTATGTGATGTGAGCAAGGAAAAAACCCCACACTTTGCAGAAGTGGTTTGTGCAGTAAAATTGAGCCATTTCTGCTCCAGCTTCTAGCCACATGTAAAGATGAGTTTTTCTGGTATTATGCTCAAAAAAAGAGGAACTTGGAGTCACAAAGAGCACAACCATGCAGACACCTCTCCAGAGCCTGCATAAAATACTTCAGAAACACACACCTTAAGGCAGGTCTGAAAGGATGGGCAGAAGAATATAATCTCTCCTTCAGAAAAGGAGTGAATTCCAGAATCAAAGTAAGGCTTCCCAATAATGCCATAGTAGTCCCTTGGAACTGTGGCCTGGATGCCTTTTGCTGCCATCTTCCTGTGACACACTACTGCACAGGACAGCAATGACTTTCCTTCTCCTTCCCCATGGACAACCTCTTCCAGGAAGATCCCAGTCCCCAGAAGAGACGAGCATAGGACACAAAGGAGAGCATCTCTGAAACTCCTGCACTATTTTAAAGTGAAAAACAAAACAAAACCCCCTATTTTTCTGACCAATTCTGCAAAATGTTTTTCAATATTACTTTCCCTCTTTAGGCCAGATAGCCAGGATATGCAAATCCAGCACACCTTGAACTGAAGCAGAAATTAAGGTCATCTAGAAAATTAATGCACTAACTTTTTGTCATCAAAACTAGGCTTTTAGTAAGTTATTAACACCATGCACCCATCCCACAAGAAGCAAATACTTTTCTGATCACAAAGGATAATCCCTAGAATCATGGAGTTCAGGCCACAGATAGGAATCAGCCTTCTGCTTTTGTCTCAAAATAGCATCATCATCCCAGAATCTATTTCAGTAAGGAAAGTGTTTGCCATAGGCTTCTGCTCTGAAGTGCAGACCAGGGAAGGACGCAGAAGAGAGAGCTCATAAATCAGCAGATTGATCTCTTGCCATTTGCTACTATTTACAAGAGAACCGGGTTGGAGCTATTTTGTTTCGGACTCAGCATGCAAAGTGTTCACTGCACAAGCACAACCTGTCAGTAGAGCTAGATCCAAACAGCTCCATTTTAATCCTCCTGTGAGATTTTGATTCCCTGGAGTTCTTTTAATAGGATTTTTCCAGATTTTCCCAGATTGTTTGCTCAATCTGTCTGATTCTCCAAAGAGTTAACGTAATTAATTATTGACCAAGAAAACTGAATAGACAGCTTCACCCCAGAGCCAAGATTACCACTCAGGCCCCTTTGATCAGCTTCAGAAATCCTGCTTCTAAGAGATGAGACACCAGCAAGTCTCAAAACTACATGGCAGCAAATCCCCTCTCCAGAGCTGTGCTACTAGTTCTTCAGATGCCAAGAAAGGCATTACAACACGTTCTCTGTGTGGGGGACAGTCAGAGGCTTTCAGACAAAACAGCTATTGGTGAAAAGAAGCTAGAAGCAGCCAACAACAGAAGCTTCTCTGAGCTGCTTCTGCACAATGCAGAGACACAACAGGAGCACAGAGCTCACTCACAGATTTAAACCACAATGGAAAAGGGATCTCTTTCAGAATGCAGGCACTCT